CGCTACCTGGAGGCTTGAGGGATGAGAATCGTTTGAAGCCAGGAGGTGGAGGTTACAGTGGCCAAGATTGTGCCAATGGCACTCCACCTGGCGGCAGAGGCAGCTCCTGGTCTCAAAAAGTAAATAATTAAATTAATACATAAATAAATTTCTCTAGACATTCTGCAATATATATATATCTTTTCTCATGTTATTTTAAACTGGATTCTATGGATGGGAGAAAATGAGGTGTCTTTTCTACACTGTCAACTGTCCCATTGGAAAGTAGCTGGTCAGGATTGGTCTCCAGGGAGGGGCCGAAGCCAGCTCCTTTAAGTTTTCAGTATTTTATCTCAGTATTCCATATTGACTCTCATCAACACATCCATTTTCCATACTTCATTCAACAACATTTCCTGATCTCCTATGTCCCAAATCTCTTCTTAGGAGGCTGGGGATGCTACAATGATTAAAACAAACCACTAAGAGATCTTCAGTTCCTCCGAAGTTACACTAAATGGTGCAGGGCCTTTGGAAAACCGTATGCTGAGAATAGATAGGGTCAAGGACGCAAGGCAGGCAAGGACTGTGGCTTGGCCAGTGGATTAGCAATGGGAATGTCATTGGAGATCTTGGAGTGGGCAGTTTCAGTGGGGCAATGAGGGTGAAAGCATGATAGGAAGGGAGGACAGCACTTGGGGTGAATATTCTTCCAAAAAGGTTTCTTTACTCTGAAGAGAAAGAATCAAATAAGATAAGCAGCTGGAAGGGTCTAGTAGACCTGTGAAGTGGTGCTATTGTCACCATGCACCCACGCTTTGATAGAATAAAACAAATTGCCCAAGTTTTTTTTTTTTATTATGGTATATGTTGAGAATCAGTTATTCTGAACCCAGAGCCCACATTCTTAACCTACGCTCCACAACAAAGGGATGAAAGCAAGAACTTCATTTATTGGTACACCTGTGGGAACCAGCACAGGCCTATGGGCAAAAAGAGCCAAAAGAAAATTATGGAATACTTAAAGGAAACAGACTATTAGTCTTAATTTTTAATTTTCTATATACTATATACCTATGCCTAATTTAAATTTTGTAGATACTCTCAGCCTGGTGCAGTGGGTCACACCGGTAATCCCAGCACTTTGGGAGGCCAAGACAGGTGGATCACTTGAGGTTAGGAATTCAAGACCAGCCGGACCAACAAGGTGAAACCCCGTCTCTACTAAAAATACAAAAATTAGTTGGGCATGGTGGTGCACACCAGTGATTTCAGCTACCTGGGAGGCTGAGGGATGAGAATCGTTTGAATCCAGGAGGTGGAGGTTACAGTGAGCCAAGATTGTGCCACTGCACTCCAACCTGGGCGACAGAGCAAGACTCTGTCTCAAAAATTAAATAAATTAATTAATTACATAAAATAAATTTCTCTAGACATTCTCATATATATATATCTTTCTCATGTTATTTTAACTGGAATTCTATGATGGAGAAAATGAGTGTCTTTTCTACAAATGTCAACTTCCCATTGGAGAAAGTAGCTGTCCAGGATTGGTCTTCCAGGGAGGCAGAAGCAGCATCCCTTAAGATTTTCAGTATTTATTCTCAGTAATTTCCATACCTGACCTCTCATCAAACACATCCATTTATCCATACATTCATTCAACAAACATTCCTGATCTCCTATGTCCCCAAATCTCTTCTAGAAGCTGGGGATGCTACAATGATAAAAAAAAACCACTAAGATCTTAGTTCTCACGAAGTTTACATTAAATGGGAAAGAGGCAGACATTTGAAACATAACAAGTAGAGTTTTGGATGCTGACAAATATAATTTTTAAGCACTTTATGGCATAGAGTAAAATCAGCACAGGCTACTTCAAATAGGTGGGAAAGTCTCTTCAGGTGGTTGACATCAATTGAAACTGAATAAAGAAAAGGAAGCAGCTTTTCCTAGCTCTAGGGAAAGTTGGGTCCACAAAACAAATGAGTAAAAGACCCTCTCTTAAGTCTTAGAAGAACAAGCTAAAGAAGTTGGAAGTACAGTGAGGGTACACAAGTGAAGTTTTAGAAGTTAACAGTGCAGGATAAGCCAAATCCCACAGGGTGCGGATTGTATTCTCAGCATGGTAGGAAACTATTGGAGATCTTGAATTCAGATTCCACTGGCTCCTAGTGGCAGATGGATTGTAAGAGATGAGGGAGAAAACCAGGAATCTAGTTGAAAAGCCACTGGAATGGCCCAGCCAGAGGGAATGGTGGCTGGAATGGAGGGTTGGACTAGGCTGGCAGCTGGAAGGGATGTTAGACCAAGAAATCTGTGCTATGGAAAGAGGGATAATCTGATGGATTCACAGAATATTTTGGACTTAGAGCTGGCAGAATGGATAAAGCAATGCGGGGGTGGGGGTGGGGGTAGGGTGGAATTAATGATCACAAGAGAGAAACAAAAAGTGACCACCTAGGTTTCTGGCAAAAAACAGGCTGGGTGATGATGCCTTCTACTGGCAGGGCACAGTCTGAGGAAGCAGCAGGATTGGGATGGGACTGGAAAAAAGAAATCATGAGATCTCTGTGTGATACCTTATCGGAGATGTTGGATATGTTGCTGGGAAAAGTGAGACATTCAATCTTAAATTCAAGTCCCATCCCTCATAAAGCTATTCCAAACCAAACAGGTCCAAAGTATCTTACCCTCCTTTGAAATCTTTATGACACTTCTATCCAAACTTCATTGGGCAAGTGTATTTGGTTATCTTCTGCCTTGTGGCATGTGTTGCAGATTTTTTTGTTTGGTTGTTTGTTTGTTTGCAGATGTTTCTAATTTAGAAAATGAGTTCCGAATTAGAACCCAAGAATTCCACTTCTATTTCTGTCCCTAACAAGCTGGGTGATCAATGGGTGTCACTTATTCTTTAAAGGTGAACAAGTCCTCACCTAAAATTAGAGTTAGGCAAGGATTAGGTAATTAATGTATTGCTTATGTTACTAAGTAATAGTTAAGTAATTTATTCCATAATTACTTCACTCATTGAAATCAAGGACTATGAACTTCGTCAAAGGTTCATAGCACAGAGCACAAAGCGTGTAAGCAGTAGGCACTCAATAAATTCAGAAGGACTGATATGCACAGTCAAGCTAAACTCTTTAAATTCCTAAAAGAGTAATTGTTAATGTTTTGAGGAAGAGTCCAGCATCTGAAGGAATGAGGGGCACAGGTTGGGAAGTGCCCGACTTCCTGTCCCACCTGGGGACCCCGCCGCCCCTCAGTCCCCGTGCCCTCCTCCGCCCCAAACCCTCCCAGTCTGGGAGCCCAGGGTCCCACGTGGGGCTGACGGGCCGGGCTGGCGCGTACCTGGCGGATAATACCGGAGCAGGAAACTCTTGAGCTTCATTTTCTTGTTCTCCTATCCCCAGCCGATGGGCTTCGTAGCCATGGAAACGGCTAACAGCAGAGGGACGCGGGCGCGCATGCGCAGGTTGCACCAAGCGGTCCTGGGACGCAGAGCCGGGAGATCGGGCTCCGCCGGCCGCTGCGGGTGTCCCGGGGCTCCAGTGCGCGGGAGACGAGCGTTCTGGAGGTGTCTAGAGTGAACGGGGTGGGGGCGCCTCGTGTTCTCACTAAGGGCGACCTCAGAGGAGCTAAACATGGCCGGAAACCGACGGCCTAGGCCAGAGCCTGGGCTGCATGCACTATTTTAGCACATTCGTTTCCCAAAAGGAAGGGCAGGAGGAAAAGCCCGCGCCGGTTACCACTCAGAGCCCCAGCCCGTGCCCTGTCCTTGTCCTCCCAAAAGAAAAATGACCTCAACTTAATATCCTGCGTTTCTTGACTCTGTGCCATACGTTGCACTAAACGCTGTATGCACACATACTCATATAATCCGAACAAGGTGTGAGTTATGTACCACTTCTTAAGGATGAAGTAACTCAGCATTAGAGAAAGTGGAGAACTACCAGAGGTCGCAGCCTAAATGGATAGTAGAGGCAGAAATTGAAGGCAGGTGCGTCGGAACCTACACCAGAAAGCCTGCACCTGTACTCTCAACTTGGGCTTAAAACTCTCCAGGCCTTCATGCGGCCTGTCCTATATCTTGCCAGCATCATTGTTTGCCTGCCACGTTTCCATCAGGAAACCTGTGGAGAGAAAGAGTCAGCCAGCCAGCTTGTCAATTTCCTTTAAGAAATTTGGCCTAAATCGGAATTTCCCAAACTTAAGTAATTCTGCACAACTATGAGCCATGTCTCGCCTTACCTCTTCCAGAGATCCATACCTAAGTTTTCTTTAAGTTCTTAAAATGTCTCTAGATTGACTCACTTATTTTACTTCACTTTGTAAAATGTAATTTTAAAAATTACCTTTACTTTTACGGTTACTGGCTGTTTACTGAAAATTATATGAAATTCAATTCCACCTGTGAAGTTTTCATTTCTAAATTTAAAATTATATGAAATGTTCAGTAAACAGCCAGTAACTGTAAAAGTAAAGGCAATTTTTTAAAGGTGTTGAATTGGTCGTTAAGGGCTGGGCCATCAGGAACTTGTGCGTCCCTCTCAGGGAGACCTGGCCTTCAGAGATGACAACATTCGGCCCTAGGAGGAGCCTGCAATCTGTCCTCCGTCTTCCCAGCTTGTGCCCCCCGTGGGGATACAGGACAGTAAGGAGCTAAACAGAACCTGCTGCCTGAATGGGGGGACCTGCATGCTGGGGTCCTTTTGTGCCTGCCCCCCACTCCTTCTATGGATGGAACTGTGAGCACGACATATGCAAAGAGAACTGTGGGTCTGTGCCCCATGACACCGGCTGTCCAAGAAGTGTTCCATGTGTAAATGCTGGCACAGCCAGCTCCGCTGCTTTCTTCAGGCATTTCTACCTGGCTGTGCTGGCCTTGTGGTGGATGAGCATCTCATGGCTTCCAGGACTCCAGAACTACCACCGTCTGCATGTACAACTTTTATGCTAGCTTGCATCTGCCTTTCTACACAAAGTTACTATTAATTGCCATTGACCTATTTCCAGAAATACGATTTTAGATATCATGCAGATTTCATGACCAGTAAAGGCTGCTGCTACAACGTCCTAACTGAAAGATGATCATTTGTTAGTTGCCTTAAAATAATGAATACATTTCCAAAATGGTCTCTAACATTTCCTTATAATGCCAACTACTTCTTACCTCTTTGCCCTGCCCTCCCCACAAAAACTACTTCTTTTGTCAAAAGAAAGGCAGCCATATCTCCATTGTGCCTAAGTCCAGTGTTTCTTGATACATATAATTCTACCAAGGTCTTCTTAAAATGTTATTTTAAACAATTGAATTATATCTCCAGATTATTAAAGACTAATCCTAATGTGGACCTTAGGATACAGTTTTGAGTAGAGTTGATAAAAATCAATTAAAATAGTCTCTTTAAAAGGAAAGAAAGCCTCTTTAAGGAGAGGAAACAGAGGGTTGAAGGAATGGAAGTTCATCTGCATGTATGCAGGGAGACTGGGTAGGAAAGAGGAAGCAAATGGGAGAGAGAAGTTGGAAAACATAAAATGGGTTACTTGATGGTGATTAGGTGGGTGTAGAGAAGCAAATTAAAAGGCTAAATGGAAGGGCAAGTTTCCATCGTCTATAGAAAGCTATATGAGACAAGGACTCCCATTTTTTTCCCAAAGGTGTTGTAAAAAGAATGAAGTCTCCTTATAAAAATAAAATTATGCCTCAATGTCCCCAACAAGATTGCTTAATAAATTATGTCTCCTCCAAGCTATGCAATTCTTTTAACTGTTATAGAAAATGTTCACAATATATTTAGTTGTAAACCAAGTGATAAAACTACATATTGTAAAGTCAATTTTTAAAATACATTGTATATATGTGTATGCACAGTAAAAATAGAAAATATATTGATCTAAAGGCATTGAATTACTATATACTACTATATATTACTATATTACTATATACTAATTACTATATACTGCCACAAAGACTCTGAACCCAAAACCATTCCTTTCTTTGTAAACGAAGGAAGGAAGGAAGGAAGGAAGGAAGGAAGGAAGGAAGGAAGGAAGGAAGGAAGGAAGGAAGGAAGGAGGGAGGGAGGGAGGGAAATTAGCAACTGTTTGAGATAGTTAAGACAGGCTACAAGATGGAATAGCACCCAACTGAGCCTTCCTACTTGATGTGTTCAGAAGATTGAAAAGATAATTGAGATGGCAAAGCCTTTGCTACTAAGTGACACAATTTAACCTAATATAAACATGCAACACATTTTAAAAAAAAGAAAAATCATCTTTTTCTCACCAGTAGTAAGCATCCCATACTTGGAAAACAGCAAACCATATGAAATCCAAGCTCTCTTCCAGCTCAAACTTTCTCCTAGCCATTAAGACACTCCGGAAGGACATATGGAGGGAGGGGCAAAGAGTTTGTTCTATAGAAATGAGAAAGTCTTTGGTAGATTTTGGTCACCTATTTATTGCTTGTGCTCATGCCATTTAAAATGCCATCTTTGGGCGGGGCATGGTGGCTCTTACCTATAATCCCAGCACTTTGGGAGGCCAAGTTAGGAGGATTGCTTGAACCCAGGAGTTCAAGACCAGCCTGAGCAACAAGGCAAGATCTAGTCTCTACCAAAAAATTAATTAGCTGGGTGTGGTGTGCGCCCCTACAGTCCCAGCTACTCAGGAGGCTGAGGGAGAGAGCACTTGAGTCAGGGATGACATTACCAATAGTGGGATGAACTGACATATATTACCTGATATTATAATGCACTGAAGAGAACACAGCAAGGCCAGGTGCGGTGGCTCACGCCTATAATCGCAGCACTTTGGGAAGCCAAGGTGACCTCTCACGAGGTCAGGAGATCCAGACCATCCTGGCCAACATGATGAAATCCCATCTCTACTAAAAATACAAAAATTAGCTGGGCGTGGTGGCGCGTGCCTGTAAACTCAGCTACTCGGGAGGCTGAGGCAGGAGAATTGCTGGAACCCGGGAGGTGGAGGTTGCAATGGGCCGAGATCATGCCACTGCACTCCAGCCTGGCGATAGAGCAAGACTCTGAAGAAAAAAAAAAGCAGCAATTCTCTGGAATTCCTGCCCAAAATGAATTACTTGACTCAAATCATAAGGAAACATCAGAGTAAACCAAATTGAGGAAATTGTACAAAATAATCGTTGACAGTCAAGGAAAGAAAAGTCTGAAGAAATATTTGAGATTAAATAAATCTAAAGAGGATGACTAAATGCACTGAGTGATGATAGATCCTGAACCAGAATAATAAGTACTTACAAAAGACATCATTGAGACAATGGATGAACTCTGAATAGGGATTGTGGTTTAGATAATCGTGTTATATCGATGTTAAGTTTCTTGACTTTGATCATTGTACTGGTTATGTAAGAGAATGTCCTTGTTCTTAGGAAAAGCATACTGATTTATTTCAAAGTAAAGGGGCATGCTGGCACCCTGATCTCAGACTTCCAGTCTCCAGAACTGTGAGGAAGAAGTTTCTGTCGTTTTTGAGTCACCCAGTCAATGGTACTTGTTATGGAAGCCTGAACTAAGACATTCCCACCAGGACTTGCCTTGAACAACCAGAAACTAAATAATGAATAGCAGTAATTTTAATCTGCTAAGCCAATCCAGTCTAACACAGTGAAGTCACTCTGGGTTTCAGTTATCCAAGTATGGTCGCCAAACCAGCAGGGTCAGTATCACCTAAGAATTCATTAGCAATGTACACTCTCACCTCCCCCGAGTTCCAACCTACTGAATCAGAAACACTGATGGTGAGGTCCAACAACCCGTGTTTAAATGTGCTTTCCTGGTGATTCTAATGAATGATGAAGCTTGAGAGCCACTGTGCCAGCTTAATAGGTTACACTGACTTGGACAGAATGAAGCAAGTGAAATTGGGCTTCGTCTCCCACGATCAGGTATTTCTGTGTATTCCAGGCAGTCTTCCTTGATTGTCAGGAACAGTAAACTGGTTGTTCAGTCACACGCTCGAATGTAAATGAGACCCAGAAACAATGTGGGAAGAAGCTGGAATTCTCTACATAATTGGGTTTCAGATGCTCCAATGCACTGAGAGAGGACAGTGGACATCAAGCTGAGGGAGGAATCCGAAGGTACCTGGGAGGGTGGGAGTTGGGGAGGGAGGTAGTCTCTAAAATCAAAATATGTATGGTGGGTGTGGCGGCTCATGCCTGTAATCACAGCACTTTGGGAGGCCAAGGCAAGAAGATTGCCTGAGCTCAGGAGTTTGAGACCAGCGTGGGCAACAGGGCGAAACCTGGTCTCTACAAAAACTACAAAAATTAGCCCAGTGTGATGGCACTTATCTGTAGTCCCAGCTACTCAGGAGGCTGAGGTGGGAGGATGACTTGAGCCTAGGAGGTGGTGGTTACAGTGAGTTGAGATCACACCACTGCACTCTAGTATATCTATATAG